ATGCAAAAAATGTAAAAAAACAGGAAGGGGGCCAACACTTTTTCATACCACTGTGTGTATATATATATTAACAGATCTAAGCTAAATCTGAGTGTCAGCATATAAACTGCTACCAAAACAATTGCATGTTGTAACATGTTACATTTTGCTAAATTGTGCTATGCTATAACAGTGTAATGGTAACATTGAACTGTAATGGTACTAACTAAACTAAGATTGTCCTCTACCATTTTGAATCCTTGTCAGCCTAATCCAGTTTACATTATCACCAACCTTTTGGAGTAATCTGTCTGACCTGAACTTCCGCCCTTCTGGAGTTTTCTTGAACGTGGTATCCTTTTAAAGAATGCCTTAAAAGAAAACTGAAATCTTTTAGATGTCAGTCAACCATGACTGACATTACATTGTCTAAATAATTAGCCATGAATTTACGTCTCTTAGCAGCTAACACAGCCATTTAGAAATCAAATGAATCAGATTTTATAACACGTTTTGTGTCACATAATAATCATCTTTTAACTTTTGAGACACAAAGAACTACATTTAGATTCAGATAGTTGGAATCAGATGTGGATAAATAGTGATTTCTTCAAAAGATTATTTTGTACTGTAGGTTACATCTGTCAACATTTTTGAAAAACCTATAGAAGACTTAACAGTGCTTAACAGGTCTAAAATGTACCACTAACTAGTTGGTTATAGCTTTTATACTTAAATAACATAGCAACACTTCCTCAGCAAAGACAGAAAAGGTCCTTATCCCATATCTGAGGTCCTGTCACTCAGTTGTAAGTGTTCCTAAACCCTTTGAGGCCGGTGGGTTTGGCCAACAAGGGGCAGACGGAGCAGGAATCATCTTCTCCAGGAGGTTCATCATTCGCTCCTGAAGCTGGAGGCTCTGCACCTGCAGGAAGTTCTGCTGATGCATAACGCGGCGAACTTCATGACAGGCCTCCTCAACGGCACGGCTTATCCTGCGTTGCTCCTGCAGCATTGCGTCCAGGACACGCAGCTTCTTTCGGCGCAGTGACCCATGTGAAAGCCTCCGCCTCTTATGTGGCTGTGACCTGCAGATGGACAACCATGCACTTATAATTCCATAATTATGATTCTGAAATGGATCTGTGATCAGATTGAACATGTTACCTGGTCTCAAAAGAACTCTCAGAGTTCTCTGTTAGGCCTTCTTCCTCATCGTTAATTTCCCTCTCCTCTGAGGAACCCGTGTACTCGGGTAGAAACCCACTTGGTGGAGCTGATTGGGGCACAGAAGTCTCGAGCTGAGAGGTGGAGGGGCCAGACGTCGAGAGGTTCGGTGGGCTCATATGAGCATGATCTGGTACCTTTGACAAGATCCTCTCAATAGATTTGTAGTACGGCCAATCAGGTGTAGCATTGCTTCCATTTGCTGTGTACTTCATCTTCCTGTTAGAAAGAATAATCTGTTAAAGGAATTTTAAATACTTTATCTACGTCATATTGTCTTTAAAAGAGTATTAGCATAAGAGAATAGATCAGAAATGGTAGAATCAAATAATTATCACACCAGTCTGCACTAAAAATGGACCAAGATAATGATAGTGTAACAATTTACTGTGATATTTTAGGGACTTTTTGAGGCTTTTTGGTTCAAATTAACCATTTGTAAAGCCATTACAACCACTTTTATCTGCAGTTTTAAACATTTACTCATAATTGTTTAGTGTGGTACAACATTTGAAATATATAAAATGGCAAGTAATAAAGCTCACACAGTGGTCAAAAGTCATTCATATTTCTACCCCTGAATAAACGGAATAACATTTATATATTTTTAACAGTGCTTCATATATTATATCTCTATAATCTAATGGAGAATTTTGTATATTGTGTGCTTCGTGTATATACTATATGTATCGTGTTTATATTTAGGGTGAATATGTGTCAGTACACCACTGCACAGTGCACACAAAGCCTTTACCCACCACTACATTGGTTTACTGTGATGTGACCGAGTGATTTTGATTTGATTCACGTTGTTTAGAAGTTGTCTTGACCCTCTAGAGGAGTGTTTGGTTCCATAGCTTATTTGCGTTCTATGTTGCTATTTGAATTCGATATGTAGATCTTGACATGATCAAACTGGAATGCTGTTTTGTTTTAGAATGGCTTTTGAGTGCATTGATCAGTGTTGCCAACTAATTTTCAGTGGAAGTTGCTAAAGGCAGAATGATTTGTTGCTAAATGACGTTGTGATGTCATTGCGTGATGATGTCATTGCATAACCATTACACAAAACAGCATTTTTTTAATGTGGAATACACAACGATATTACTCAAATCTCAGCGAAAAATATTTTTTAAATGTTATTTGTTCATAAAAAACATTAGAAACATAAAATATTTTAATTTGTAAAATTAACATAAGTAGCACATCTTTATGATCAGGTTTCTTACAACATTGAATTATTGAACAGTTACACATTTTATGTATTTTCTTATTAACTAGTGAAACTGCACATTCTGAACAATTTTAGTTTTAAGCAGTGTACTAGTTAATTAGTGTGCTACACAAAAGTCTATAAAAATAGGACACAATGTACTGTTCATATGAAGGGACAATACGTATTTATTTTTTTACAGGTGTTTTACCTGTGTTTTAAATTCCACATTGCATTTTGTGTTTTAAAGTCACAGGTTACAACTTAATGGATAACATCCTGAAAGAAAATGACTAGTACTTTTTCATTTTTTCTTACAGTGTACCTAACTGAACAACAATTACAAGCTAATAACATGCTGTATCATAAATGTGCATTTATTATTGACCAATTGGAACTTGCAACTTAATGCACATTTGTTTGTACTGTTAGGCATCTTTCTCTAGCTCTCTCCAGGTTGATGTGCTGCTTGGCTGGCTTTTTTAAAATAGCTCAATTTGTTGCTAGGTGCCTTTTGAAAAAAAAGTTGCTAGGGTAGTCTGAAAAGTTGCTAAATCTAGCAACAAAATTGCTAAATTGGCAACGCTGGCATTGATTGCTGTCCTCCAAGCGCTTCTCCAAGTATGCATACTTCGCTTGTGGAGGACAGACACGCCGCCTGATGTAAATTTGGTCATCAGTACAGCCCGCTGCTGTTCAGCGCCACACATCGCACATGCAGTGCGCACGCAACACTAGTTGGTAGTGCGCATGCGTCGATCGCGTGCATCCGATTCCGAGCTCACACAGCCAATGCGTGCTCAAGTGTGCACAACACTGTGCAAAACGACGAAAGCGAAGTACACCATTTAAGTTGTAAGAGTAGACACTTGGGTAGTGATGAACAGATTATTGATATGATTATTGATTATTTTTCTTTTGACAGATAGATAGATAGAGTAATATTTACTTACCTGAATTGGAAAGTCATGTTGGTAATCTTCATCTTAATCTCCTCCCTGTGTCTCTGTTCCCCAGTTAATTCGTAAAGTTGCTTAGCCATTGTCTCGTAGATCTTAGCATTGCGCTTAGCCTTCTTTAGCTCTGTCACGTACTCTTCCCAAATGTACACAAGAGATTTCATCTCGGAATCCGTCCAGTTACGAGCCCTCCTGTGCTTCTCGTTGGAGTCCGGCACAGTGTAACTAAAGCAGAGGTCCTCGGAGGCCATTTTAAGAACAGATTATGTACCTTTCATTCAGGTTTATGATTTAAGCTTGATTTTTTTCTCTCTCAATGCAGTCTGTTTTCCTGGCCTTAGTTTGCTTTCTCAAGCATGTGCTTGTGTGTGCCAGAGACAGGCCTCTGCTGCCCTTCCCCCCATGCTTAATTAAGAGGCCTCAAAATGGAACCTGGAGGGCTGGAGCAATGGCTTTAAAAGCTTTTAAAGAGGGAAGTTCGTCAGCATGATGTCAAGTTACCCTGGCAACAGCCCGCTAAGGCCCTCCTCTTCTAGCTAAACCCTTCCCCTTCACCTCTACTCATTTGTCTCTGTCAGTCTGCAGCAAAAAGCTTTTAGCTGAAAGCCAACAAAGTGGGTCGGGCAGGCAGAAAATCTGCATGTGAAATACGACTCCTCTGGGGACCGAAAGCAGCAGAGCCTGCTGTTGCCTAGGCGACCGGTCTTTCTCCAGACCACTTAGTCCGAGCGTTTATGAGCTTAAAAGCTTTTAATAGAGATGGGGCTAGAGTGACATTGCAGAGAAGGTGCATTTGCACCTGATATAACACATTTAAATTGCGGCACAATTTTTTTTAGGTTAATGTAATTACCCCCTCTGTCCCTGAGCCCCTTTTACCACATTACGTTTGCCCTCAAACACTTCTTCATCTCTGACCACACCCGAGTGTTTCAGATTACATCTTCTGTCACAACTACAGGGGGGTCTGGGACAGGACATTGGGGGTAGTGCTTCGGGGGGAAGGGTTATCTTGTGCACCCTTTGACAGATTACCAGAGGTGACACATGGTGCATGTGCTTCTTTATGGCTAACTAGATGCATCACCTTCACATTCAACTTCACTCTGTTAAGAGACATTTGGAGACATTCCTGACTGAGATGAGGAAAGAGCTACATTACAGGAAAGGCCACCTTGGCTTCATAATCATTCAGTATTTTGAGCATATAAAATATGAAAGAAATTGTACTGTTCTATACACTTACATAGAGAGCAGAGGCTAATAGTTGATATAATGTTGATATATTTATGATGAAGGCAAATATTTGATTTCTGTCTATCTATCTATCTAGATAGGGTTTGATATAAATCTGACTCCAACACATACTGTATATACACACAGACACACACACATGCATATATGTATGTATGAAGATTCATATCAAACTCTCTGCTCTCTGAATTTGTTCTGAGACAGATCCAGGTTTAACACGTATAATTATAAAGATCAATAATTAAGAGGCTGGATCATCTGCCTGTAGAGGAAATGCCCTGGTCTTAGGGGGGACCAAATGGTCTGTTAAATTTGTGCCATGATAACATTTTAATTCAGAGAGAGAACAGCCCATCCTATTGCCATCTTGATGGGTTCTGTCTAGCGCTGATTTTGGGCCATTTTGAAAATATTGGTGTAAAATGACTGTCTACAGCCATGTCAAGTAACATTTTGAGAAATTATTATGGGAAATAATTGTGTAATATTTACAGTATTGTGTATATTAAAATCATTCAAATGTGTTATATATTAGTACTCTATCAGTCATAGGCCACATAGTCAGTGTGGAACCGGTCTGTTCTTCTGATTTTGGTTATTTAGTTGAACATCGCCCCCTACTGAGCCAAATATTTAGTGCCTGACTGACATTGGTAAACTATGCAAAAAGAGGCACATTTTGAATGCAAGGAAAAACTGAAGTCAAGGAATGAATGAATCCAAACCAGCATTTCCTTCTTTTTTTTGAGTGCCTTTAATATTTATTCAGTATTCCAGCAGCTATTTAATATGCAAGAGTTGTTTTGTACATTTTATATTATACAGCAACATTAGTTCTCCTAGCTCCGTTCTCCGTCTTCACAGTTTTCATCCTGGCAGCCATGCCATTTTCACTGTTGTCTCCATAGCAACTATCATGAGGAATTTGGCTGGACAATAAATCAAATCATACAAGTGCAATAAAAGAAATTAAAAACTTCACAGTGGAAAAAAAACCTAATAGCTTATAAGAAATAAGATAAACCAATTAAAATTATATTATTTAAAAAAAATGATACAAGAAAAAGAATACTCATTTACTTCCACAACATCCTTTTGAATGCAGGGGGGAAAATAATTGTGTACATAAAACACATACATACAGCACATCAACTATAAATATAAGCTTACACATTTGCATGTACATACATGCAGACATTTCATCAACAGCTTTGTAAACAGGTCCACCAAAGACCTACCGAGAACCGACCAGAAAGGCAACCGGAGATAGCTTGTCCACAGGATACAACTTCAACGGACTTAACGGGGTAGGTTAGTAGCTCTTAATAACCATTTAAAAGGCTGACACCTTCAACTTGGGAGAATCTAAACCTTACTGGTTCCTAAACTGGTGATAAAAAAAACACTATAATTGAGCTTGGCTCAGTTTGTAATTGGCTCAGTATGTAATTCTTCGCTCTCTGACAGCAAATCCAAGCTTGTCCACAGGATACAACTTCAACGGACTTAACGGGGTAGGTTAGTAGCTCTTAATAACCATTTAAAAGGCTGACACCTTCAACTTGGGAGAATCTAAACCTTACTGGTTCCTAAACTGGTGATAAAAAAACACTATAATTGAGCTTGGCTCAGTTTGTAATTGGCTCAGTATGTAATTCTTCGCTCTCTGACAGCAAATCCGATCACAAATAAAAGAGTTTTTACTAAATGATCTGTTGGCCGCCAATCTCACCTTGGCTCAACATTTCTTTAATACTGATTAATGAAGTAGTTTGCATTAAATGTCTCTTTCTGTCCCTGGACAGAGATTGGTGTTTATCCCAAGATCAATGACAATACAGGTTTCTCATTTCGACATTATAAAATAATGTAAGATACAATAAAATAAGTACAAATATAAGTGGTTAATGCAAACATTTCGAAAACGATGTCGTCAAATAAATACCATGGTTATTACTGGAATGTATATGTTAACAAGTGCCACTATGAGGCAGTAAACATTCACGTTCCAGCATCTAAAACTGCAACTGGAGCTTCAAAGTTAGCAACAAGTGGTGGCTTCAGTTACAGCGAGGACGTAATCGTCTCTGCGCCGAATGATACAACTACATGCACAGAAGTACCTTTGTTTTGCTTATCCTTCACAGAACTACAATACATTAAATGGTTGAACAGACACCGGCAACTCGGTTTTTCATCAATGTCTGCAGCCCACTGGCGACAAAATTGCACTGTACCAAATCTAGTTTTTGTGGGGAGGACACTAACAGGAATTTTCAAAAAGAAAAAGGCTCCACCACAATATCGCGCACAGTGCAATGTTGTTTGTAAATTACAGCTGGGCCGTCCCACTTCTGACAGGCTCGTACAATTTCTTTAGCATTAGGAGGGCTAATATCACTGAAAAAAACTGAGCGATGATGACTCCTAAACCTTTTAGTCTTTAAACGTCATTTTTTTATTTTGAAAGTGTCTCAAGAGCTGGGAATTGAATTCGGATTTGGCAACACTAACACACAAAAAAAAAACATTCAGTCTTTGTCGTCCCGACTTAAATTTTCAGTCTCTCAGACACTCTTCCTCAGTGATGCCTTGCACCCTCAGCTCTTCCAAGACGTTGTCAAGGTGACCGGAGTCTGGGTAACCGTGGCCGGTCAGGTTGGAGCCAAACTCGGTTTTGTGATGCACCTCGTTCCAAATGACCGTATCCGTCTCACCCGTAGTGCTGGATGTGCCCACTGAGAAGATCAGCCGGCGGTCCCAAGCAACCAGCAACAGCTTCAACACCTGTTAGAGCGGCAATCGTTTAGAATAAAAGCTGAAAATCCTTGCATTTTGAAGTTGGAATATGTAAATAAATAATAGCAGAAATCTAATTTAAGGCTTTTTAAGACCATCTTTAAGACCTAACAACTGCAAAATGTCTATAAAAATGACAATTTATACCATTTACAATACAGTTCAACTAGTACAGGTTTTGATAAAAACAAAAGTTTTATATTATGATATACCACACATTTCAGCCTCAGGAGTCAAAACTATAAATGATTAAATACATTTATTTAAAATATGATTGTATTATACAGAATTCATTGATTGTAAACTGCTCTAAAACCGTGAGCCTGTAGAATACACATCAGTACCATGTTTTGATTTAATTGATTACATTTTATATTTATTTAATTCATCACCTTTGTAAGTTTAATAATCATATTAGCCCTATTGCGATTGCTGAATTGCATATTGCGATTGCAAATTTAAGACTAAATTATGAAGACTTTTATTATACTATTTAAGATATTTAAAGGGATAGTTCACCCAAAAATGAAAATGTTGTCAACATTTACTCACACTCGTGTTGTTCCAAACCTGTGTGAATTTCTTTCTTCTATTGAACATATAAGATGGTATTTTGATGAATGTTGCTAACCAAACAGTTTCTGGTAGCCACTGACCTCCATAGTATTGAAAAAAAAAGTCAATGGCTACCAGCAACTGTTCGGTTATCACCATTTTTCAAAATATCTTTTGTGTTTAACAGAAGAAAGTAATTCGTACAGGTTGATAGAATTTAAATTTTTGGGTGAACTCTCCCTATACTATGTAGTTAACAGTCTTTTTATGACCTTAAATTTGATAAAAACTAACTAAATTTAAGACTTTTTATGGACCCTCTGTGTTTGCGAATGTCTGGAGACTCACCAGGCGGCCTTTTTCACTGTCAGGGAGGTAGCAGTGTCTTGGAAATCCACGAGCTGTGAAGGGCTTCCCGGGGTTGGGATGCTCTGGACCCTAAAACAATAACAGACAGGGCCGTTTAGACCTACATTATAGTTACATAACATATGCATGCAGTTATATAACACCGCAGCAGCTCAACGTACAATGTAGGTGGCACAAATGCCAATGTGAATGAATGCTCTGGACAGCGCAGTGGTTTTAAACAAGCTCTAAATTAAGAGTCTTACCTGAATGCCAGGGGGTATGTTGTAGATAATCCGGATGGTTTTGCAGTCAGGGTGTCCAGGAAGGGAGTGAGGAATGACGTGGTATTCCATCTTTCCTGGTGGCTGGTTGCCGGTTTTAACACCGTAGATGGTCTTGCAGGTGGGACACTGAAGGCTGCCGTCTTTGTTGCCGTTGTTGTACATGGCCACCAGGCACTGCAGGTGGTACTGATGTCCACACTGAGACAGACGACCCACTGACTCTGCCCGAGAGATGCCACCGACACCTGGGCCTTTATAGCCAGATGGTCCGCAGAGAGATTCCATACAGATAGTACAATCCTAAGAAAGATTCAAATTAATAAAAAAGAGAGAAAGAAAAAAATCATTTAATCAAGTTTAATGAATCTAATGATGAGATCATTACAATAATAATTGTAATAAAAAAATTAAGTATTATATTTTAAAGGGGTCATAGGATGCGATTTTTACTTTCTCTTTGAAGTGTTACAAGCTCTTGGTGCATAAAGAAGATCTGTAAAGTTGCAAAGACTAAAGTCTCAAATCCAAAGAGATATTCGTTATAAAAGTTCAGAGTAAGCCACACCTTCCTAAAACGCCTCGTTCTAACACGCCCCCACATATCTACCTCACTATGTGGGAAGATTTGCATAACGCCGCCCAAATGTTCACGCAAAGAAAGAAGGCATAACTTTTATTCTCACTGTAGTATTGTTGTTGCCACCGCCATGTCGTGAAGGCGCTGTGTGCTTCGTTGTGAAAGCAAAACTACTTTGTTTGGCCTTCCAAAAGAGGATGATATCCGCTTTGTCATGCCTGGAGCTGATCCGTGCTGGTCGCTGAAGAGATACAACAACTTTGTGCTGTGGATCGCCGGATCGGCTTTCAAAGCAGAGCTTTAGCATCGTTACTCCAGTCACATGATCCTTCAGAAATCATTCTAATATTCTAATTTGCTGCTCAAAAAACCATTTATTATAAACACCCGCGACACGTTTTGATTTTGAAACGTGCAGTGCTCATGTTTATTCAATGAAGTCAAAGGCCACAAATAAATCAATGTATGGGAAACACTGGTAATGTATATCGAAATATCGGAAATGTGTTTAAAAATCATATCACCGTTATTGAAAAAAATTCTCACGATACATATTGATATTGAATTATTGTCCAGCCCTACGCTTGAGGTATTCGGCCAATCATAACGCACTGGATAGCTGGCCAATCACAGCACACCTCGCTTTTCAGACCGATGAGCTTTGTAAAAATCGACGCGTTTCAGAAAGGCGGGGCATAGAGGAGAAACAATAATGTACAGTTTTTTAAACCTTATGAACACAAACACATTTCATTACACCAAAATACACAAAATAATGTTCTTTTTAGCAACATCATATGACCCCTTTAATTAAAATGATTTAAATAATTTAAAATAATTTAAAAATAATAATAATTTAAAAAATGCTAAATATGAATCAGGTATGTTTACCTCCTCAGGTGGGTTGCGGACTTTCTGGAGATATCTTCTAACAACTTCTTCTGAAGTTCTACCTGCTCAAACCAAAGAAAAATTAAGTTAAATCAAGGATTTAGAGGAATAATCTGTCACAAAGATGTGACATGATATATAAAATATAAATATTTTATTACAATCTATTATGTTGTTTTTAAGTGCCGTGTTATTTGATCAAAAATACAGTAAAAACAGTACAATTGTGAAATATTATTACAATTTTAAAGAACTATTTTCTATTTTATTATTATTTTTAATTAATGTAATATTTGTATTATTAATAATAATATTAAATAAAAATATTATTAATAATATTATATATATTTTTTAATTATTCCAAACTTTTGACAGTCGTGTTCATTTATATAAATAGACAGCTAGATAGATATTACAGCAATTTATTATTTATTTTCTTTTTCAGTAATTGCAATTTGCTTCTTGCCTTTGCGGGCCTGCTTCTTTGTGGTTTTTCTGCAGCAGTGGCCGAGGCCTGGCACAGGTTTGATGTCACTCTTGCTGACAGGTGGGGGGTGGAGCACAAGTTTGGGTGGGCGTGTCAAGCAGACCGGGAGTCCAGCGGCGCTCATCAGAATTCCAGTGATACCTAAACAATGAGAAGAGACAATCCCATCTGTTTTGTATCCATCTATTTTTAGTTTCAATGTCTTTGGTAGCAAAATTATCCCAAATGTGTTACTATATTTAATCATCACCGCAACTATTTATAACTTATTTGCATATTGTTTCTCACCTGCCAAAGCTGGATGGACAGGACTGGACCCATTTAAGTTTTTCACTGGGACGGTGGGGACTCTATAAAGGTAGAAAAAAAGAAATAAGACATTAAACACATGCTTCCACTACGCAAGCAACCACTCACCATTCAGAAACACCCACACACACACCTCAACGGTCTTATCGATAATCATAAACTGGATCCGAAATAACCATGTTGTTGTCACAGCTACACCTGCTTGCGTATCACCCCCATCCTGACCTGCAGACATTCCGAGTCAAGCCGCGGTATGTAAACCAGATCACACCTTCTGTCAAACCCACTGCTGCCACTAACAAAACTGGCACCGAGTCAGCAGACAACAGCAGTGCATGCAGAACATCAAAACCTCACATGACCAGACAACCTGTTGTCCATATGTGGGGATATTCAGATTGCCAATGTGTACTTGGGCAAACATTTCCAGGGCATCTCACCTCAACATTACAGAACATACGAGTAAAACTATAAAAGTGATAGCAAAACCAACAGTGATATTTTGAACAATCAAAAACTATTGTCAAACCTAGATGTTTACCTATAATTACTAGTAAAGGCAACCAATGTAAAATTGTTCTTACACTGTAAAATCAAATTAGTTGGGCTTACTTAAAAAAAAGCATGCAAACCGATGAAAAAACTAAGTAAAGTGAAATAGGAATAGTATGTTGTACTGACAAATGCTTAGTTAGTATAGTTTACTTACACGAGAGTTCTAGTAACTAAAAAAGAACTGTAGGGGGTACTTGATCCTTTCATTTAGATTTACTCATAACTTATAGCTACTCACTGACTCCCAGAGTGCATTGCGGCATTAATAAATTATGCAGTTGCTTTGTTTTACAGTTGTTGATTTTATTTGCCAATTTTATTTGCTGTTTTGTGTCAGTAGTAGCACAACAAAAAGAGCAAATAAAATGGTTATTGTTAAAATAAATTAAATTGTTACCATTGTTGTGATTCACGTGTTGAATGTATAAGTCTGTGTGTGACTTTAGCATATTTCCACACACTACTTAAGGATTATATAAACCCAATTAAAAGTATCACAAGGTGTTTATGAAAAATGAAATTTGAAAAAGTTCATTACTAAACAAAAAATACACTAAAGGTTTAATAAGAAGATAGGTCACCTTCTAAAAGCAACCTATTTATTACTTTTCTTCCTTTGATATCAAATAATTGAGGGTTGATTGTTAAAAATGATTAAAGAACTATTACCTTCACAATTATTGAACTACAACAACATGTTCAAAGATACTCACTGTTTGACCTTGATAACAGTCATGCTTCAACTATTCCAATGATCTCCAAAAAAAAATTTGAGGCAAAAAAGGAAAACTCAGGAGTAATGTTTGGATTCTACTCTCAAACTTCTTCAATGAATGTTTCACAGTCTCATAGTCAGATTTTCCCCTTCTAGAGAGCCTGGAATCAGTGTAGTTTTGTTCACATATATCCCGTCTCTTTCTCCGAGCTGTTCTTCTGCTGGATGAGGTTATCTTGCCTCGCTCTGTCAGCAGTCGCTCTTATAGAGCTAATCCTCGAGTTTCCATCTGTTGACAAGCAGCTAGGAAAGCAGGTGATCCACGTCACAGAGACTGGGATTACCTCTCAACGTCACACACTGACACACCGCCATAAGGTTCCTTCACACTGGCACATAGTGCAAGATAGTTGCTTACACGCGCACACACACACACACATCCACACACACCATACCATGTGTGCGTCCTGCACAAGTTCAAAAGTTTTGGTCGTATATGGGCATGCATAGACAGTGACCATATTAACACAGACACAAGGATATATATGGAGAAATAAAAGAAACATATCACAAATTATATTCTAAAAAAATGAACATACTGTAAATGTAAAAAAATTGATTACATCTATCTATCTATCTGTCTCTGTGTCCAGCTTCAGCTTAAACTACATCTTAAAATATATTCAAATAGAAAACCCTTAATTTTAATTATTATATTTCACAATATTTTTGTTCTTGCTGTATTTTTGATCAAATTGTATGCAAAATACTCTATTGCACATATGCATACAAATAAAAATAAACTAACAGCTAAATATATATAGATATATAAATATACACACACACACACAAATACATATATATATATGATAAATATTTAGTATTATTGCTATTTATATTGTTATTTTATTCTGTCTTTGAGTGTGTGTATATATCTAAATCTATAGTTTGTGATCATTAAAACAAAACAAAAAAACTGTATATAAAAGAGAGCGAGGGAGCAAAAAAACGTATTATATTAATGAGATTATAATTAGAATAACCATTCAAACTTCAATTAAAACGTCTGTATGCATTAAAATAATGACAATTTGGGAAACAAAGTAACTAGCGTTACTTATTTGAAAAAGTAGCTCAGATATTTACTTCTAAATTAAAAAGTAATGCGTTACTTTACTAGTTACTTGAAAAAAGTAATCCGATTACGTAACTTGCGTTGTCCCCAACACTGATGATGATGATAAACGGAATGAGGATATACAATGATGTAATAATCGTCATTAACTAATACTTCTGTCCAGAACAGCTGTGTTGTCCGTCCCCACACCGGCCTGAAGAGTGTTCCAGAATAAACGTGAAAGTGTAAACGTGCAGGAGAAGTGTGTTTAAGATTATACAAGCTGTTGCCATGTATGTCACATCAAGTGCCACGAACCACTGAGACACCGATCAGTGTGCCAACATCGGCTAATGCGTTCACGGCAAGGTGTGAAGAGATGCGAAAATTAGTAGAGGAGGGAGAGCAGGAAGTTGAAGTGTATTTGCTGGGTGCGGGGTGAAAAGAAGCGACCGGCAAATCTTCAGTCACGTTTGCTGCTGACTAATCTAGCGGTATTAGCACCCATATGGCTGCAGTCATAAGCACAACTCACCTAATCAAACCACGGCCAGATGTAACCACTTACTGACGAACATGAAGAGAGCAATGGAAGAGGGAAAGATGGAGGGGGAACAGGTGGAGAGGGCAGGAGGCAGGGCATCTCTAATGTCAAGGGGTTTTGCTAGCTTGATGAAAAAACTCACTGACAAGACCCTCAACCTTGATCCGGTCACAATCCTTTTTACTTTTTAGCTCATTTGAAGGAGGCACTGTCGATCGAATCTAATTTTTGAGCCCTTTTGTTTCTGTTATAGCCAGTTTTTGATTATTTACGAGAGCTTCAAATTTCAAATATTGTTGAATCATATGGTTGAAAGAAGTCTCTCATGTCCACCAAGACATTTATTTGATCAAAAATACAGTAAAAACAGTAATATTGTGAAATACTATTATCATTTAAAATAAGCATTTTCCATTTTAATATATTTTCAAATGTAATTTATTCCTGTATTTGTGTCCAGCTTCAGCTTAAACTACATCTTAAAATATATTCAAATAGAAAACCCTTAATTTTAATTATTATATTTCACAATATTTTTGTTCTTGCTGTATTTTTGATCAAATTGTATGCAAAATACTCTATTGCACATATGCATACAAATAAAAATAAACTAACAGCTAAATATATATAGATATATAAATATACACACACACACACAAATACATATATATATATGATAAATATTTAGTATTATTGCTATTTATATTGTTATTTTATTCTGTCTTTGAGTGTGTGTATATATCTAAATCTATAGTTTGTGATCATTAAAACAAAACAAAAAAACTGTATATAAAAGAGAGCGAGAGAGCAAAAAAACGTATTATATTAATGAGATTATAATTAGAATAACCATTCAAACTTCAATTAAAACGTCTGTATGCATTAAAATAATGACAATTTGGGAAACAAAGTAACTAGCGTTACTTATTTGAAAAAGTAGCTCAGATATTTACTTCTAAATTAAAAAGTAATGCGTTACTTTACTAGTTACTTGAAAAAAGTAATCCGATTACGTAACTTGCGTTGTCCCCAACACTGATGATGATGATAAACGGAATGAGGATATACAATGATGTCATAATCGTCATTAACTAATACTTCTGTCCAGAACAGCTGTGTTGTCCGTCCCCACACCGGCCTGAAGAGTGTTCCAGAATAAACGTGAAAGTGTAAACGTGCAGGAGAAGTGTGTTTAAGATTATACAAGCTGTTGCCATGTATGTCACATCAAGTGCCACGAACCACTGAGACACCGATCAGTGTGCCAACATCGGCTAATGCGTTCACGGCAAGGTGTGAAGAGATGCGAAAATTAGTAGAGGAGGGAGAGCAGGAAGTTGAAGTGTATTTGCTGGGTGCGGGGTGAAAAGAAGCGACCGGCAAATCTTCAGTCACGTTTGCTGCTGACTAATCTAGCGGTATTAGCACCCATATGGCTGCAGTCATAAGCACAACTCACCTAATCAAACCACGGCCAGATGTAACCACTTACTGACGAACATGAAGAGAGCAATGGAAGAGGGAAAGATGGAGGGGGAACAGGTGGAGAGGGCAGGAGGCAGGGCATCTCTAATGTCAAGGGGGTTTGCTAGCTTGATGAAAAAACTCACTGACAAGACCCTCAACCTTGATCCGGTCACAATCCTTTTGACTTTTTAGCTCATTTGAAGGAGGCACTGTCGATCGAATCTAATTTTTGAGCCCTTTTGTTTCTGTTATAGCCAGTTTTTGATTATTTACGAGAGCTTCAAATTTCAAATATTGTTGAATCATATGGTTGAAAGAAGTCTCTCATGTCCACCAAGACATTTATTTGATCAAAAATACAGTAAAAACAGTAATATTGTGAAATACTATTATCATTTAAAATAAGCATTTTCCATTTTAATATATTTTCAAATGTAATTTATTCCTGTATTAGTAACGCTGGATTTTCAGAATCATTACTCGAGTCTTCAGCGTGACATGATCCTTCAGAAATAATTCTATTATGCTGATTTGCTGCTCACGAAACATTTTTTTGCTTTTATTATCAATGTTGAAAACAGCTGTTCTATTTAAAGGTGTAATAGGTGATTGTCTTCAGAAACATTTCTTGTTATGCTGGTTG